CTGCTGAGGGGAGCAGCAGGCGGGTCAGGAGAGGTCTGCTGTGCCATGTGGGTCAGCTCCCTGGCTGGGGATCCAACTGGTGCTTCAGCAGCTGCTGAGAGCATCACAGTGCTGTGCACCACCAGGGAGGGCCCTGGAAACCCTCTTTTCTTTTGCTTCCCGCCTTTCTCTCTTGCCACAGCCCTAACAGCACCCCCAGCAGCCCATGGAAACCAAAACTCTTGGGAGAGGAATCTCCCGTTGCTGTGACAGACAGCGCCTCACGGCTTTATTGCCTCGATGCCTTCATGCTGCGTGACCCAGTGTGGGCCTGGTCACAGAAGTGCTGCACTGTGGGGTAACGAAAGGCCCAGCTCAGTAGTCAAATGACTGCGGTGGGGGGTGCGAGTCCCGAGAACTGTCAGGCCAAGGATGTCGAGAGGGAGGAGCTTGGGAAAAGAACTCTACACAGGTGGTCATGGGCTCCTGGCTCTCCTTGGTTTCCTCTCCCTGAGTCGGTGTTTCCGTCAGGAGCTCCTTCAGGAAAGTTTTGAGAGAGTAAGTGTGTCTGTGTGTCATAGCAGTGTGGAAGGGGGGTGTCCATGGGACGACCCCAAGCGCCGCCCCTCAGGGACTCCAGACTTCCACCACAGCAGAGTCCTGCCTCGGTGTCCTCAGTTTCGCTGCCAAGGTTCAGCCCAGCCCGGCCCACGCTGCTCCCCAACCCCTGGGACTTGGGCACGTACATCATTAATGAGCGGACGCAGCTGCCTGGCAATGCTGCAGAAGACCACCTTGACGTCCACTCCCTTCCCGTGGCAGATGATGTTCCGCAGGCTCTTCACGGCCTGCACCGCCACGCGCACCTCACTCCTCAGCAGGCTTCGCAATAACGGAACCAGGCTTTTCAGAGCCTCTGACTGGAAGGAGGCAGATGTGAGTCACCGCCCGAGCATCATGCAACCCTCGGGGACAAGGATTCGAGCCCAAGAAATGACGCCTGAGAGAAACAGGCACGAGGAATCCCAGGTTGTGGAAGGCTGGTGCTGGGGAGTGAAAGCCTGACGGTCGGTCCGCGTAGGTCTGCTCGCTGGCTGCCGCTTCCCCAGGACAAGGGGTTCGGGGACATGCTGGGTGGCAGAGACCCGGGGAGGTGAGTGGACGCTCAGGGCCCAGCACGGGGCTCCCGCTCAGAGTCCCACGCACCTGCTGTGGGTGCAGGGCCAGGTTGCTGATTCCCCGGAGGCCGATTTCTTTCATAATAAGGTTGGGCTCCTTGATCCACCTGCTCAAATTGCCCAAGAAGTCTTGCCCCAGAGTCTGAGCCACTGACCGGTGCCAGAGGAGCTGCGGGTGCAAGGACACCACCATTATGAGTGGAGGAGCCGCTGCGGGGCCCAGTACGCCTCTCACGCAGGTGGCCAGTCTGAGCAAACGGGGCCGAGGCTAATGGTGAGAACAGGGGGTGCTGTTGACCAGAGCTGACTTTTGAGCCAGATGCTGGGGCCCAGCCAGCACGTGGGCCCGAGTAGAGTTGCTGGCCCCTCCCAGACTTCCCTGCGTCCTTTAACCAGGCCCCGTGAGAGCCAGGGAAGCAAACCCCACTCTGTGTGGCTGGATGCTATTCTTCCTACCCCCTGAGGCGAAGTTATTTGGATTTCTGTTCACTGTTCCTCAGCTACAGGAAGTGAAGGGGGCCGTGGACCCCTGCTGGAGCCTTCACCTGCGCATAGAAGGCTCTGGCCAGGATCATCCAGTAGTTGTCTGGGCTGTACAGGAGGTTCCTGACAAGGTTCAGGATTCGGTGCAGAACGGCAGGCTCACAGGTTTTCACAATACCGCTGGGTGGGACACAGGAAGCCAAGAGTGGCCGGGAGGAGGTGGCAAGGGAGCGGTGGACACGGGACAGCAAGGACAGGGAGACCAGGTGGCTGGGGGGGGGGGCGAGGGCTGAAGGCCGGGACCCGGGGCATCAGGATTAGGGTGGCTGGAGGGGAAATGGCCCCACCTGGTCAGGTCCACGATCCCCATGTAATAAAACATGGGGGAGGACAGGAGGCTCCAGCAGCTGTGGTTATCTGCATAGTTCACCACTCCTTCATAGGCTGCCGCCAGTATCACCAGCCTCACCACCTCGAGAGCACAGCTGCAGGCCGCCGCGGGGTTTGTGAAAAGGAAGGGACAAGCCTAGTTTGCATCCCTCCCCCGGCTCAGGAGACAGCTCCCTGCTCGGGTAGCTGGGCTCTGCTTTCCCGTGGGCAAAAATCCAGTCTGCCTCCAGTCAGTTGTCCATCCTTCTCCTCAGCCCTGGCGCTCAGAAGGGAGAGTCCTGACAGTTACTATAGTGCCGGGTTTCTGATTCTGCTCTCCCGGGTCCAGGACCAAGGTTAGCATAGCTCTCTGTTTGCACACCCACTTA